CCCTACCTCATTCCCATAAATATCTCTTTTTTTTTTGTCAAAACGGTGAAATTTGGTTGCCAATCCCCAAATCGATAACGATAAACCATTGGAAATTGGACATTCAATGGGCAATCATTGTTTTTAATTTTTAATTCGATTTTTTTATCTTTTATTTTCATTTTTATTCGACATGAATACCATATTCAGGTGTTTATATTTATTGCGGTGTTATAGCCCGAATTTTTATCCGATGATGTAGCATTGTATCCCAGGAGATGTCCCCCACGTGCAGACTCTCCTGGTGACCAACGAAAATCATGGAAAATATGTTTTTTCAGATGTTCCGACGATTTTTGTTGTCTAGACTCCAGTACCTCAAACCGGACTTGAACCCAGGATGTTCCTGGTTCCGGGTTCCGTCGTCCGGCGAAGCAATTTAACCACTTTGACCATCGTCGTCGGCCAATTGAATTTTTGTATTCCACCGGAGGATTGCAAATGGCGGAGATGACCGAACGGTATCGTCTGGCCAAAGTTTTCTTTCACTAACACCCTCAATCTAAACTTCTTGCCACCCCAAGGTGGAGAAATAGCGTTTACGTGAGTCCATAGCCCTCCCCACTGGCGCCGATAGGACAAATCCTACAAGCCATTAGATGAAGATAGAACGTCTAAGCGATATTTCATTCGCCATTGTCGTTTGTCATGTAATGTAAGCATAGGGGGAAAATCCAATATTTTTTTTCTCCTCCCCCTCGTCCGGACTTTCTACAGATATTTGTCATTTACCTTTTACCGTCGTTTACGATTCGAATGTGAACATCAAAGCGGGACTTCCTCATTTTATTGGCAATACTGAGATGCTGTGTTTACCGATGACGCTCAACAAAGCGATCTCTGCCCTCGTTTCTCCAACCCCTCCACCCACTATTCTGCCATCAAACATACCCTAACTCACCCTTCGGTGCAATTCAATTTGGAAACCCTCGGGTGAAGGTCTTTGTTCTCTAAGAGCCTTGTGATTTTCTTCTTTTGTTTAGTTGCATTGATTTTGTCTGAGGCACTGGATATTTTTCCTTTCAATTCATAAGTCTCTCCTGACGCTCCTCCAACTACATTAGTATACATCAGATTCTGCATTCTGGTTTCCTTGGGATTGTTCTGGTCGATGAAGTTTCCAGGGATCAACTCAACTTTTGCACTGAAATGTATATGAGCTACTCGAAGCAATATCAAAATTTATATTCAATGAGATGATCAGATTTGATGGTGCATGATTGGGTGATGAGAGTATAGTTTCAGTTGAATGAGAATAATCAGTAATGTAGATTCTCTTGTCGATCAATCGTATGAATGATCCGTGACTAGATCAAACCAAGTCCCCATGATCGTTCTATGACCTTCCATGAAATTCGCGTTCACCTTACCCGAAGCGTGAACCCGGTGGCATGGTGACGCCTCGCTGGGCCGATATAAATCCACGTCATGAATATGAGGCGCGAGACTAGCCATTCGAAACAGGTTGAATGTCCGGAACAACCAGCAGTTGCCACTTCAGTTGTGTTGTATCGTTTTACGAGAGGAGTACGACCACTAAGAGATGACGGAGGTGGACATAGAGAACGAGGTGTATATGACCCGTGACAGGAGAGTATTCAATTCTACTCCATTGCTGCTCTTTAACCAGAATTACAACAAGTACTCATTCAACTCTCGTTACTCATACACACCTAATCCTTTCAATCTCATTCAGATGGATATTTAGGAGTGAAGAGCAGATGCTGTTGAATCCAAGTTGAATCCCAACAAGCCTTCCATTTCTGATCCTAGATTCACATCAAGATACCCGGATCACCCCCTGCCACCTTGACTCCTTCACTTTCAATTATTCCAGCCACACGAGAACAAGATAAAAAGGATATCATCTTGATTGATCTCGAGACGTGTCAATTGGCCCTGACATTCCGTAATCTTGATCCGAGTTGAAGAGATGCCAGAGTGGTGTCATAAACCTGATGATGCTTATCTGACTTCATTTCTTCATTTCTTCCCAATCTCGTTTCCTCCCTCTTCTGTACATAAAAACCTAATAGAAGCTTGCATGGCACGGAAACTGAGCGAGGGTAATCTTGACGCGAGATGAAACCTTAAGTGATAAAAACAGAGGAGTGGAGGACAGAGAACGGTAGGTAGCTGGGGAATAATGAAAGCACCGATTAACAAAAAAAAAAATGGAGCAACAACAAACATCGGATGCAACTAAGCTACAAGCGTCGAGGTGTTCTACGTTACAAGCTGTAGATGTTTGAGTGAGTTGAGCATTGAAATTCGTCTACTCGTTTCCCCATTTCGAATTTGCATGCATACGAAGTTTCAAGGATTCCAAGCTCACCCCCATCCTCTAGCCACTTTGCTCGTGCTTGCTGGGCTCCATCGGCCAACCACTTCTGCAGACGATATGCAATACAATGGAGATAACTATTCAAGTAGCATCAAACTCCAATGATACAGAGGGCGTGATGTTTCGAGAAAGTTTTATGGGTTTTCACTCTGACGTTAACGTCCACGTTTTTGGGAGGGCATACCAGTGGCCAGATTTATACTGGTAAATCCGATTGACTGGGGGCACCAGGGAATTTCTATTCAGTTCAAACGGCCCCAGGGAGCTCTCATCGAGAGAGCGGATAAAGATTCGAGGCTGGAAATGGTCTCTCCCCATGCGATTTTAGTTTTAATTTTCTCCATTTTTTTTCATGCGACAAAAAAAACCATCGATTCGAATCTCGTAAATTCCCATGGGATATTTTTTAAATAGAAATAACCGATATCATTTTAATTTGAAGGAGCAAGTGACAAAATTTCATAACAACTTTTGTGAAGTGATTCGCGGTGACATCCAGTGCCTCGATGATTACAAAACGGAGAGAAATCGCTGCTGTGTGTGTGACATCAAATATAACCCTGTAAAACCTCAAGTTTATCTTCCTTTTTTTTGTTTACCCTCACCATCATTCCTGGTGCTTGTGGATGGAGGTGGAAACCTGCGATGGCAAAAATGGCCCGTTTGAGAGAATTCACGAGACCCATGCCGGCATAAATTCAACGGTACAAAACGAGCGTGTGAGCTGAGGGGGAGTTGGGGTTCTTCGCGCACAAATGCATTTCCCAAGTGGTGAATTATATTCTACAAAAGGGGGTAGGGAGGGGGGAGGGGAGGGGGCTCGATGGGGAGGGTTTGGCGCCGGTTTTTCCACTATATCGTCGGACAAAACGCCGTTGCGTAAAATGTATACAAACAAAATTCAAGGTGGATGAGTGGAGAACGTTGAATTCACCGAGTGTGCTTACGGGTTTCGAGTGGAACTCTGGAGTTTCCCACAGTGGATCTACGTGAGTGGTGAAGTTTGTCCCGATTATACACGTACCATCGCTTGTGTTGAATTTCCAACGATCATTGCATCAAAAGAGACTGGAGTTGCGCCAGTGCGAAGGTTTCGTCGTATTATGTTGGCACCGAAGTAATCCCAGTTGTGGGGATTGTGATATCCGTTGAATTTAATCCGGGTATCATTGTCCTTGGTGAAGGTGGGGATGGTTTGACTGTGAAACCGAGGGTCGACGGCTATCGACGCCTCAACAGACGACAGGGATTCTTACACCAGAGGATGGACCCGGTTTTCAAAATCACTCTCTACTGTCATACCATTCAGCGTTGATGAAATAATACCGCTGTCTGTTTTCTTTTTTTTTTATCATCTCCTGCCAGGTCTGCCAGTCAGCGCTTCACCAGAGGCCAGGAGAAAAATATTTATCAATTTTTAGGAATCCTCAGGAGAAATTAATCGAAAAAATATTATTCTACTTTTTACAATTGTTCGGATCGTTTGATGATTTTTATAAATTCAATATATATATCAACGAAAATCCCTCTCTGATTGTCATGAAACATGATAACGAAACCTGATCATGTCCAGTAAATGCATTTCATTTTAATTCCCAAATGCGATTCAATCAATTCTCAAAGTTCACGAGAGAGAGTTCACATTTATATCAACCCCACAATTTCCAAATAGTCATCGGAGCACCGAAAACCGGACACTTTTGGAGATTAAATACGCGCCATCAGATAAATATATAAAACCCCAATTTCACATGAGATAGATAACAGTCTTTTGTGAATAACAGTGAAAAACGATTGAATATTCAAACTCGGTGGAGTTGCATATACAGAAAAAAAATTTTTTTTTCGTACAAACGAATATTTTTTATTTCAAAAGTAGAAGTGAATTTTCCTTCAATTTGAATATTCATGCAAGCGCTCCCACCAAAATTTGTTGTAACCAAGCCAGAGGTTAATATTAATATTATTCAGGTAAACACTGGCATCAATCGCTACCGACATGAATGTTTTCAAAACAAACATCGAATTACACGGGTGTGTGAATTCCAGTGTTGAATGTACAATTCTGTTGGAATGCGCAATGTCCTCATACTCGAATCATTCATTTTCCATTAGATAAACTGGGATTTGCGTCAAGATGAGGGCCATCGAGTCAATTTTGTCAGATTTTCTGTGGCAATTTAAAAGCCTCGACTGCGAAAAATTCCCCTCCCCTCGCCCGAGGAAAAAAAAACCGTTTTTTTAACTCACTGTTGGCTCGATCGTTATATACTTTTTCATAACGCTGACGCACTCAACACAGATATACGTGTGCGCGAGTATCTGCATGAGTGAGATGTTTACGTAAGCGAAATTTAAATTTTCCACCCAAACGAGGGTGGTTGTTACATACTAAAAAGTGCTGGCTAGCCGTTACCCACTCTTAACTCCTTCCTATACGGGTCAGCCTTTTTACGCTAAATTTTTTCAAATATCCTCATTATTCGAATATTATGACAACGAAAAGAAAAACATATGGTGGTGTTAAATGTTTTTGGTTTGCAATTCCAAGAAGAATATATCAGGTATTATTTCAAATGATGATGTAAATATAATTTATGATATATCGATGTTGCAGATTGGACCGATAAATGCGAGTCAACTGATGGAAAGATCGGACTACAACATGGGTAATAATTCTCCTTACGTTGAAGAATCACAACTACAGTGGGGCGAACTGAGCATTGATCTCCTCCCCTTCCATTACTCAAATAACCAGTTAACCATTCACTGCATCGCACGAATACCGGGGATGTACGAGGCTGAGAGTGAGTTGCAGGTGCAAATTGGATTGAGGGAGCCTGTACCCGCTCAAAGTAAGTTATCAGTCACAACATTACATCATTCTACCCACCCTCTTTCCCCCAGAAAATTGTCACTTGAAGTGGTGAATTGTCAGAGCCTCTCAGGGACAACCCAGGGGCAACGCGACACAACAGACCACCAAAAGATTCCAAGGGGGAAAGCTTGTTTCCAACTTGCCAAGCTCGAGGGGCTTGACAGGCAGAGGCTTGCTATCTTTTGACGTAAGACAGGGGTAGAGTGACTGGATGTTTCCAAAACTTTGACACATCGTAAACCACTGATGTATATAGCTCCCATCCAACCCTATCTCTCGGTTCTTGCGTGAATTAGCTAAATCCCAGGTGCACTAATCCTCTTCTGGGGGATTCGATGCAACAAAAAGGATTCAATGATATTGGGTGTCTCAAGTTTGATGAAAACTTTCGGGGGATCAATTCAACCAACACTTGATCACGCCCGTTGTGAATGCTTGATAACTGATAAGTCATTTATCCAGTCTTAACGGTGAATTCTGGGAATCAGGCTGCGTGGACGTGAATTAAAGGAGTGAATTTAAACTAGAAGCGTAGAGAATGTTTTCAACGAAAAATGGAAGGATAAAAGGACATTTTCCGATAATCCCCAATAGTGATATTACGTCATCTCTCACTGAGAAAATATTCCGAGTATGTACGTTGTTACATTTATGCATCAAATCCATAATATTTCCATTAAGTCTTCGCATAACGCTCTCACGGACCTCGAAGACACATATCATGTTTCACCACTGGCCCGAGTCCCATGTGAAATTGAAAATTCTCCACACACTTCATGCAACGAGTGGTGCCAAAATTGTTGCCATTTCCGTCTACTCTCATATACATCTTCCTCACATGTACATACCCCCTGAGAGACCAGCCCACCTCATTCTACCCCTCGCACTCGGAAACTTTCAAGCGGGCTTCATTCTCCTCTCAAACATTTATGCCCCCTCGTTATCAAAAACCTTTGCATACCTGATTATTCGGCTCGTTTTATTCTCTTGTAAACTACATCCTCGTCGTACATGAGAGTCACGTGATGCTCTGAGAATCCTTATCGACTCGTCTTACGGCTTGACACTCAGTGAGTTGAAAGCACCCACTTCATTGTACGCCGTCGCCATTCTATTCTGTCTCAGACCTCCTCATCTACAGTGCTGAGGATGCTGAGGATCTCCGCCAGGACTAGATAGGCAAATCCTAAGTGATAGTTTAAGATGCGTTACCTCTCGTAACGCGTTTGCAGAAAGTACCGGACTCAAATTAAAATCCAAATGGCCTAGAGTTTCATTATGGAGAAATTCCCTAGGCCTTCTCATAGCGGATACTTAAATCTTGATTGATGCACAATCTAGATTCACAGATTGAAAAAAGTCACTCAATACCACCACCAAACTCCGAAAAATCCCCGTATTTATATCGCCAAACGTTTCTCAATCGTGTGGGTGAAAAAGAAACTGTGTGCAAAAATACATTGAACAATATATCAACTCGTGAGAAACGATCTCCGATATTTTCTCGCCTGGGGGATACCCTCACCTACACACGACATGAAAAACCAGCTGTTACATACGGTCCTGGGTATATAACCCTCTGCCTCCCTCAGCCATCGGTGCGGGATTAGAGAGATCGTAATTCTCGAGAGCGCTCTTTGGTGTCCAACCGACGTGCAGTGGAAAAGCCAAATATTTGATCGTACATTGAAAACTGAAATTGACAAAGATAGAGTGGGTTTAAAAATACAGGGAGAAAATCGAATCATTCGGTTGGGAAAAGCCAATATCTTCCCAACCGCCATTTATGCTGTTCATTGGTCGAGGGAATTGATGGGACGATCATTACAGCCCGTGTTAATTGTTCCATTGTAAATATTAAGAGTGAAATGTTGAAAGTACAGACACGAGTTTTTTTTTAGTCTCACTGGGAATTTTTCGTTGGAGCATTTTTATCGCGGTGGTTTGTCAATATTAAAGGTGAAGGTTATTGTCATTTTTTTTTTGTTGCAGTCACTTCAGACAGCAGCAGGGCCATCTCCAGTGCACATCTTCTAGCAGCTCTATCACTCCGCGCACTCCATTCTTTCTTAAGATAGTCATGAAACGGTGGAAATCTCGTGGGAGCATTACAGCACGGAAAAGGCCAAAACTAGTCACCAAATAACAGGGCAGACACTCGAGCACGACATGATTTTAAAAGTGAAATATTAGAGAGCCCCGGGTCATGTGGAATGCAATTTTCATGTCCTAGGACCAGAGAGCAGAGTGATGATACGAATAAAAATGTTTCAGATATGGATTGTCGGAATAACTGTTAATCGACGTCGATTCATGTAACTTTTATATAGGTTTCATTATAGAAATAAGACGGCCATGTACAAGAATTTTCTAGAAACAACCTATTTCTTATTTTTTTTTTTGCTTCGTTGAGGTGACATTGCCATTAATTATTCTTCCTAATTTATCCTAGCTTTATGGCGCAATGAAGGCTGTTTTTATTTTTCATCGCGATTGTTAACGGAGAATGTCAAAATTACACGGTAGAAACTTGCGTAATGAAGTATGGAAACTATCCTTGGGGAATTTGATCGATAAAGTTCCAATGAAGTTGTTGTCCGTCAATAATTTGTCAGTCTTGCGAGAAATTAGGGACACGAGTGAAATTTGTTGCTAGGCTCTGGGTATCAGGGCGGTATGTTGAGAAATATGAAAAGATTCATGTCAATATCCTTCCAAATTTGATATTACGTTTAACAATACTCAAGCTTTCTCACTTGTCGAATTTTTCCACCAAATGTGTTTCGAGGAACGAATTACAGTTACACGCAATGCCAATGTGCATGGCTTTCGTTTTTACGTTAAGGATATCCAAGTACTTGATTTTTTTTACAATCAATTAATTACCCCGTCTTTGAGTCCGCGATTTCGGAATTGAATTTGTGGAATTGTTATTTTTTCTTCAACTGTTACAGGATATTCTTAAAATTTATAATATTCATATTGACAATCGACTGATTGTCAAATTGAAAAATTATTCACTTGTGAAGATAAAATGCCACGGAATATTGGGTAATTTATTTAAAATAATAATAAATAATTTATTTCCACGACAATTTAGTGCAGAAATTTGAGGATTGGAAATCTCCGAATTTATTGTACTTGGATACCCTCGAATGGCGCCTACAAGAGATCGATCTCAGCAGTGCGAAAAAAAACGATTGACTTCAATTAAACTGAAATGCCAATTACGATAATCAAAGTTAACTAATTACGAGTAAAAGTTTGGTAAGCATTTTTGGATATCGCTACGTAATCTCATACCTAAGTTCAATCGCCAAAGAATCCTTTGTTTTTCCACAAAAGGAAAACAATAAAAAGAGAAATCCATCACCCAATTAAAATAAAACCCAAAAAATAAAAAAATAAAAAATAAAAAATAACCGACGATCTCACGGATGTAGAGCCTCGTGTCTCGGCACGTGTGTTCAATTTTTCCAGTGAATCAGAAAACGTAATAATAGTTGAGCATCTGTTTGGCAATTTTGTCTAAAAGAGAGGAGTCACGAAAAAAGAATTCAACTTCCCTTCAAATTGAAACCACTCAACGCCCCATTCACGTTCTTCTCCCCCTTGGAGTATTTGCACGTATTTGCGTTGTTGGAGAATGCGGAACGCTGCCAGAGATTCAAAGGGGGATAAAGACGCGCGAGGGAGTTACAAACACACGTACGCAAAAAGAGTAACATATAGGCACTGAGAGACTCATCTTGCGGTGATTCGAAATATCTCATGTCTCTCTTGTTTCGATGAGCAACGCATATATATTAGATGACAATTTTTAAGCAGAATTAACTAAAAAAAAAAAAAAAATGATGATAAACGAAGCGAAAGATAATGCGACTTATGTTACGGTCGATATTTATTGTTGTGTATAAAAGAAATAAACTTATCGATGGAATGATGATAGTAATGACTTGTCCACCTCCATTATCCTCATGAGAGATCAAGAATTAACTCAAAGCAAATGCACTTTGAGCCTGTTTTCAAGAGACACTAAAGGTAGACCAAAAGGGGGATAAACGAGAATATACAGCCAAGCGGAAGGGTAACATACACCAGTCCACAACTCCCTCCAGCAAGAGCTCTCAAGCTGATTCAAAATAAACTTTGTTCCCAGGGATACCCTCCGTTTACCTGTCTCTTCCATCTCATCCCAAACCACACATTCAACAAAGCTCATTGGCGATCTCCCAGTGTACTAATAGTATCAGTGTTTGATATCGGTGTTCTCTGTGAATATTATACATACTTGTGGATTTCACGGTAGGGGGTTCAAGTGTATGCACACATTCACCAGGGTACTATCAAATGTTGGGCACCTCGAGGTTTCTATTCAACCAGATGCGCACCCTTATGTACAGCCTCTATTCCATCCTTACTTACATTTCCTATTGTACATGGATTTGCGGAAGCTCAGGATTCAAAACCGTGCAAATTGCAATCCATCGCTGGGCTTCTCAGCGCATATACATGATGATGTATTAATATAGGTGCAATGAATGCTGTGTTATCGCTTGAAAGTACTCGATAAATGCTCGGAGAATGCTCAAAGAATAATGACGAATGCCGGGGAAGGCTCGTGGAGTCGAATAACCAATTTGCCAATGATTCAATCGATTGTACTTAGCAAAATTGAACGGCGAATTCCTTTGGCATTTCCGCTTTCATCCGGACCACATCTACAGTGAATAGTTTCACCCTGGATAACCCTCCTGACTCGCTCGAAGATTCGATTGGCCCCGATGTCGTGCTTGCCTTGAGCATCACCAATTGTGATTCGACATTCGATTGAAGGTGAGTTTAAATTCGGATGAAGTTGAAGCTGTTGGCTATATACTGCGACAAAGTATATAGGTGTACATAAGGGTGCACAATATTACCTCTTCTTGAATAACACCTTTATGGGTTCGTTCAGAGGAAAGCCCAGGGCGGAGATTCTTGATTCACCGAAGAATGTTACGAATCACGAGCACAATGGATGGTTTCGAATGTAGGTGAGACGGATAGTGAAGGTAAACTGAGGGTGGAAGGAACCATTTGATTTCAGAAGAATCGAAGGCAAAAAAGGGAGTGATGAGAGTCTTGTAGGAATGGATTGATCAGAGGTGAAGAGTTCAATGTGCGTTCGGAGAGAAGAACCAAAAGATACAGCATAGCTGATTCCCTCATCCAGGTTGGGATTCCCATTGGATGATTCGATCTGTACTCGTCACAATTTCCCAGCTATTGTTCATCTCGAATTGGTAAAAGCGAACTGATGACATAAGCCTCATGAATTGTGCTTTCCACTTGCAAGGTACTCATCGCAAATCCTGTCGGCTAATCCAAGCACCGGAGCCTTGCTCCGTTGTCCTAATGACCTCATCCATTCCATACATGTTTCCCAGCTGAAACCGGCAAGATTTAAACTCCATTACTACGAAATTAATGCTCAAGCTGCAGAACAAATTGATGGAAAACGCTGGGTTTAAGTAAACAATTGATAACCCTTGAAGCATAGATATTACGGAACCCAGCGGTGTAATTCACAATGTATTATGGCCATTGCAGATTGATTCGTTGTGAGATCGTCGAGAACAATATTCGCCAATACCTTCAGCTCGTCCAGGTGCACCTACACTGGCACAATCACAATTCACCACTAGCTACTGTGGAAGATACGTGAACAAGCGGGGAATGCCATTGTGCGGCATTTGGGTCAACAACATATAGAGCCGTTACGAAGGCATGATAGAACACGGAATAAGTAGATGGTGTTCATGGATGACAGGCGTAATGGGGGAGACATTGGTGGTGAGGCAAGGGAAAAAGGCCCACCAGAATTCACCTTTTATTATTAGTTTTTCTTTTTTTTTTTCTCTCTTTTGGTAATGTCATTCGTCACGGCAAGTGAATGGGCTTTCATCTTTTCTCCATTAATTTTTGTTTCAGTCCACTTGACACCCCTCCAGCCAATATTCATTCCCTCGGGATGTTCATTTGTCTCGTCTTGGTGGTGCAGTCCAGTTATTAATGGCGATAAATTACTCAGCTAAATCTTGGTGAGTGGAATTTACAAATAGTAACTGAAGAACATTCGGGAAACAGCAGAGACATGGTGGGAATGAGGTTTACACTCTGACACTCCAACGCGATCCCAGGCGTCCAGTTCTCTGGATGTCCACCATTCATCTTTCAGACGATGACAAGTGATGCTGACTGATGCTCCCCACATACAGGCGATGCTTGTAATAGAGTATTCCCAGCATCAGCGGATTCACCGAGAAGATGTATGTACTCAGCTTTATTCTTTTTTCCTTCGGCTTCGCTGTTATTCCATTCGTGAAATAATTATTTTGTCGCCTCATCGTAATTCTCATGGATTGAAACCTGCGGGTCTCGCAATTCTTACGTTAATATTTTCTGACTCAACTTCAATGGCGGACTCAGCTTCTGACTTTCAGGACTCAAATCGAATGGACTCTGCTTTATTCTTTTTTATCCAACTTTTCCACTATATTTCGACCTATGAAAGAGTAATTTCGTCGCCTCATCATAATTCTGGTGGGTAGAGAGTCGGGGAAAGTAAAACTGCGAAATGAAATTTCACGCTGGCATTGACGAGGAAATGAGGGTTTTAGGGTGGCACATAAATACGTCACTGGCATGGATAATTTTAGTCAACTATTTTCTCGGTGCTACTTCGATACACCCGTATCGAGAATATTTTTCGAGTAATTAAAATTGTATCTGTGATAATGCTAGAGCTGTTTCATCGAAAAACGAAAATTCGGTGAGAGGAAGAGGCAGGAGAAAAGGTATCACCAGTGATAATCCAAGTGAAAATATTTTCCATTTTATGCATTTGAAATTATCCGCGAAGCGAGTGCATGTGGAATCAAATTGATCGACTGAAAAAAATCACTTTGAGGGAATTAATTATTCAAAAATGATTTTTCATTAAAAGAACAATTAATCGAGACATTTCTAGCACTGCCCAATCTGCATGTAATTAATTTACCATTTTCACACAATTTTCTACATCGACACATTTACCAGCAGTTAAAGCATGACCGACAATTTTATTCCGACTCCAAAATAAATAACAACCACTCCATTAAATTCAAAATGTCCGGGTAATCACGAGCCGTTTCCATTCGTAAATTAATAGACATTGAACGATTTCATAATACAGAGTGCAACGATAAAATGTAAAATATTCATCACACTGTGGTAATCACTGTTTTCATTCAGAATAACTCATTAGTTATATTAAAATTAAATATAGGAGCGAGTACAGTATTAAATTTTGATTCACGTAATGAAATCATCAATAATCAAAGAGGAAATTAGTATAACGAGTTTCTGGTCAGTGATTATGAGTATTTTCTCTGGAATTGCGGCGAGTAATTTACTCCAACGAAATTTCGCAATTTGGAATCTTTGAAATTTTACTGGATCCTTCGTTTATTTTTTTTTCGCTGTTCAATTCTGACTGGAAATATTGTCCACAGAGACCGCCAATTTTAACAAACGAGAGGGAGGTGGAGTGGAGGATTCATGTAATACTTCTTCGTGTTCTCTCACTCGATGCCGAGCTAGGTGAAATCGTTGAACGGAATTAAGCTCATAATTTAGTGGTTTGGCTCGCTTCACGCCTTCGCCCACAGGAGCCACATGCGGTTGAAAGTTCAAGCGAGCTTGTGCCGAGGGCTTATTTTGGAAAATGAAAAGACAAGAGAAAAAATATGTGGAATGAGAGGTAAGTAGAGATGTTTTGAGCACTATCCCTGTTTATTATTCATTTAATTCCAAAGGTAGAGGCTCGATTGCACGGCAAAACCGGTGAACAAGTTGTTTCTGTTGGGGGATAAAGAGACGACTATTTATGACGGGGTAATGGAATGAATTGGGAGTTGGAATACGTGGGAGGTGTGAAAACTTTTACCCGGTGCAATTGAAGTGGACGGCTGGCCCGGGGTTATGGATACCCGGATGAAGAATATGCCGCGAAATGCTGACAAGACTTAGTGTCAACAAAGCAGAAAGGGACCAGATAAAGGCGAAACGTGGAATGGAAGCTCTCGTGTAATACGTTGGCTCTCATATTTTACGAGCTGTTCGTGAGTCTCATCTATATCGGATTTCCTATAGGCCAGTTGTTTTTTGTACACGCTACTCATGTCCAACCATTGGCCAATCCTGTTTTGTTAATTCTCATTTTCCTCTGTCGACGTTTCAACTTGAAACAATTTTTCAATGATTCTTACTCTCAATTTATGGATTATTATATAACGGTACTCTATTCCCCAAGGATTATTCTACCGGTTATTTATTCTTCTCTGGAATCCATTTAACTTTTTTGAAAAATCGAAATTTCGGTGAATTTTCGAGATGAATGCGATTTTTTTTTGAACGATTCCACCCGAGGGAAAAAAAAATTGAAAAAATTGTGAATTCAAAATTTTTTCTGTAGTTTTGACGTGCGATCGACCAGGACTTGCGCAATGGGCGAACCTATGAAAGGCGCCTGGAAGTCTAGATTACACACGAGGTGCCTCTTCACAAGAATAAAATAACGACGAGAATCCATAGAAAAAAAAAAAAATCATAACAGAATAAAACGTAGAGATAAGACCCTCGGAGACTAGAAGAAAAAAGAGAGAATAAAGGGGCTGATAAAAAAATTGTGTCTAAAAGTAAAGAAGAAAATTAAGGGAATGAGTCAGTGCCACCTGCAGTAGACATCTTTTCACTCGTTTTGTCGTCGACTAGAAGTAAAGAACAACGTCGTTTAAGTCTTTTGTGCCAACGAACTCGACCCCCGTACTATCCTTTAAAAGCTGAGAATCACAGTTCGTACACAGGTAGGTAAGGGGGTGGAGTTACCCTGTATGTGTGTCCAAGATTCTGGCCAGAAGCATCCC